CTGAAAGAAATTCCAACAATCGTGGATTATGGCACGGTATGTAAACTTGTTATTGATATTGGTGATTTGTTATTATAAGTCGCATGCATTTTAATGTTTTGTGTCTCTGTCAGACTTGCGTGTTTCCGTGGCAGACAAAACAAAGTGTGGTCCTTTTTTTCCAAATATACTTACGCCTCAGAGCCAAGTATGTAGACAAGGTCAAGCCCTAACCAGGGTTTTAGTATTATGTAATCAGTGGGCCTCAGGCTTCTCTAGATATCCCTCTTATGTTAGCTTTCAGCCTTATTGACACTGTTCACAAAAATTAATGTTCAGATAAAAGGTTCAGCTAAACTGAGGACTAATTAGGATGCAGCATAATTTGGGTTTTATCAACTGAGTTGATAATGTAAATTGGCCACCATTAAAATTTTCACCATTAAAAAGCTGACATTTCAAGCGTTAGCCCTTGTCCTTGGCTCTGACAATTTGAGGGTAAACACATTTTATGTGAAAGGACTCATCTTAGATGCCTTTCAATTCAATGAATGGGTTCAACAATCAGCTGCTGCCACTTGTTCTTAAAATCGGAAAATAATTTTTTTTCTATCACATTCTACCCAAGATCTTGAAAAGTTTTTTCCCAATGTAAGAATAATTTTAATTATTAGTGTTATTATCATTATTATTATTATTATTGCAGCATACATTTCTGAATGCTTCAGATTACAAATAAAATTGATATAGAGCACCAAAGGCGTAGCCTATTCAATTGTCACTACTACATAGATAAAGCTAAACTTTAAAAAAATTGTGCTCCTAAACCCTAAAAGAAAACAACTGATTATTATTATTATTATTATTATTATTATTATTATGCAGTGTACACATATAGATGCTATAATAAATAAAAGAACATAGGGTGCAAAGCATAGCCTATGTCTTCTTAATCTAAAATGATACATTCCCTAAAAGTCTCCACAATATTCCCTAAAAGTCTGTTAAACACTAAAGTTTGCACTGTTACTTGACGGTGGCCTTGAAGGTGTGTGCTATGTTAAGCGAGTTTGAGAGCGCCGCACTATTATTATTATTATTATTGCTATTATTATTATTATTAGTGTCATATTATAATTATTGTTATTATTATTATTATAGTCTATTTTTGTTTCAGTCTAGAACTATTATGAGTATTGTTTTTATTTTTATCATAATTTTTGGGTATAGTGTCTCAAACAAGAACATATCCTTACGCTTGTGATCTGGGCCAGTGTTCATGCAAAAGACATAATCCAGATTTCTTAATATACCTTAACTTTTGTTGTTTCAGGATAAAAGACTTGGTTGTGAAGATTGCAAAAACTCAGAGATAGTGGACAAATTCTTTACAGAATGA